TGTCGGCGGGGCAAGGGTCTAAAGTTCAGTCCGCCTTGTTCCGAGGCTCAGGAGAGTGCTGCTTTCATCTCCTGGGGTGTTTTGAAGCTTGTGGTTTTCCAGTTCTAGTCTGGGCACCTTGTGGGGAGAGCCCTCACCCTGCTGCTGCAGCGTAACCAGGAACGCAAAACCTTGTGTAACAGCATAGCACTTGCTTTGGAAAGGCCCCTGTTCCCCTTAGGAAATTATTTACTAAAAGAGCTTGAAAAGTACCCGTGGTGTGGCAGGAACCCTGTAACCGTGGGAGCGCTTAGGGTTTTCCTGTTGTAAGAAATAATGTACTCTTAGCTGAACCTCGGTGTACCAGCGTGTGTGCTTAGATCTTTTTGATCAAAGCTTTGGTGTCAGTTCAGTGTTTCAGAAAGACAGAACAGGAAACCCCCACACTACAACTCCCACCCCTTGCTTCCTGTGTAAGTACATGTGTGGGAGAGCAAGAACACTGAGAACCAATTACTGCATGTGAGAGGGGAAAAAAAAGTGATGTAAACAACAGCTGCCATGCTGGAAATTAAAGGTCCTGATCGCATTTGATTTGGATGGCAACGCAGCTTCCACACGCTGCTGGCTTTTCAACAATAGCAGGAAAATCTGTTAGCAGATAGGGAAAACGAGGAGGCAGAGGAAGGTGGAGGCTGGATTGTTCAAAGCAAACATGCCTGCAGAAGCAAATTTCTTGATCATCAAAGGTAGGAGGCAACATAGTTTTGGAGACTGAAAGTGTGATATCGAGGGTGATCTTTTGCCTTATATGCTCAGGGACAAGCAAAACTGTTGGCAGAGGGCTGGCAGAGTGTAATTGCAATGAAGATATTAAAAGTACCTGGCAGGGTGGGGGAGCGTGTGGTGCGTGGTGCTGACTGGGAAATCTTGCTGCAGTTTGTCTATGTGAATTCCCAGGGTGTCAGCGTTCTGCCAAACCATGAGGTGGCCAATTTGCCATCTTTCAGCAGGGATGTCTGTCTCTGGCAGAGCTTTGTAGCGGAGGTGGGGCAGGCTCTCAGCCCCCCAGCATGTTAAGAAAAGAGAGAGAGGGAGATGCTGAAGCCTTGTAGCTTCCCGCTGGGGAACTTCTGGAGGTCTGCATGCTATTGAGTAAGCTGACATTGCAGATGAAGCTAAAAGAGGGGAAATGTGAGTGCTTAATGTTGGTAGGCTGCAATTTGCTGGGTGACTCTTGAGAAGTGTCAGACTGCAATTGTTTGGATGGGAAGAGGAGGGGACGCTGGCAGGTCTGGACTGAAAACATGGGTATAGTGCTGGTGCTGCAAAGACGGGCTGGAGTGGAGCCAGAAATGTCTGTAGGAGCACTGGGGGTGCTTCAGACTGGTTGCTTCAGACTGGTTGGTACTATGTGTGGTACCATGGGAAGTGTTGTGCCCCTTGGTCTCAGCTTGCCATCAAGTTAATTCAACCAACTTACAAGTTACTCTTGTAGCAAATCTAGGGGGTGAGTAAATGGGGAAGCAAGTGTGGACAGGTGCTTTAGCTGATGAACATTGTGTGCATCAGAGTACTAAGTGAGGCAGCATTTCCTCATTGTAATATAATATGCCAGCCATCACACTCAGCAGGGGAAAAAAGAAAAATAAACGATGATCAGTGGTGTGGTGCTAGATCCTGGAATGTCTGAGGCAGAAGAGAGATCGGGTAGGGAGCCAGTGCAGAGTGAGGGAGTAGCGTGCACGTGTTTGAGATGCGTGCAGGTCAGGACTTCGGTCTGCTCTTATCTCTGCCACTAAGTCTCTCACTCCCTTGTCTGTGCCGTGAGGAGCATGAGGGTATTATTTAGCTGAGTTATCTCATTGAGATTGTGAAGGGTGCAATATGATACAGCACATAATTGATCCATAACTCCTAGTTTTATTGCATGAGGACAGTCTCTTCTTAGTCTCTTGTCTCCAGTACTTTGTACTTTTTTACTGTTGCTCTTCAGCTGGTTATTTACAGCAGTCCCTGCCTTCAGGAGTGTTTATGCATGTAACTGCTTCATGTAAAACACAGACACAATCCTGAAGAATACAGACTGAGATCCAGCACCCTTTTCCTGCTCTGGAGAATTAACTGCTGATCTGTACAGCCACACAGCTTCTCTCTGCTCCAGTTGATGCAGTTGTTTTTTTTTTTTTCTGTGCAATGCTTGTTTCTGTCCATATGGATGGAGGGCATCCGGTGCCTTCCTCAGCAGACCTGGAACATCTTTCTGGGAGTTGGAAAGCGGAGAGGCTGAGCAGTTAATGAGAACATGGGCACAGTCTTTCTTCCTTCAGTTTTTGTAGGAAAGAAGGAGCTCTGGAAAGGCAAGATTTCAGACCCCTCCACACCTGTCAGCAATTCCCAGCTAGTTATTTCAAGTCTTTCTGCAATGCCCAACTCCCACCTGAGCATTGCTGAGGGAGCCTTGCCTAACCTAGCCTGTATTCCCATTGGGGTGGGATGCCCAACAGGACAATTCAGGCTGGAAGGGACCTCAGGAGGTCTCTAGTCCAGTCTCCTGCTAGAAGCAGGCTCAGCTATGAGGTCAGATGAGGCTACCAAAAGTAAACCTTCCTGTGCCCACTTGTGTTGTGTCCACCACAGTGGTCAAGAGCAAAGGGGCACTAGAAGCTGGGCTGTGCACCAGCTCTCCCAGCTCAGGCAGGCTTCAAGGAGTTTCCCCCCAGGCACAAGCTCCATCTGCAGCTGAAGAATCTGCCTGCCAGGACAGAGGCAAGCCTGGTGCGGTGCCTTCCATCACACAGTGTCGCACAAGCATCTGCACCCCAGCAGGGTCCACTGCTGTATGTGTGTGTGCTGCGTCCTTCCTCGGGGCGTATGCTCATCCAGATGAGCAGCCACAAATCTTCAGTGCTCCCCTGGCACCCACTGTCTCCTGCTGCGAGCTCCCTCTACAGAGATGGGTTGCTGCAAATCAGGCAGCTGAAATTCTAGCATAAGTATTTTTCCTGCTCTGGCTGGGCTGCTGTGCATGCCCCTCTGCATGTGATGCCTGCATTACCTGATTTATTCATGAGTGGGAGCTATTGTGTAAATAAGAGTACTTCACAGCCCTGTGCTGCCTGTTTTTTTACTCTCTTGGAAATATTCTTCTTTTAACTCCTTCTCAAAACTTCATAGACAAATTTCTGAAAATAAAATTAAGTCTTTAGCTCTTAGCACTCCAGGGGCTTTGCTTTGGGAAGAGGGTGGCGAGGGAAGTCCTGAGTGAGGGATGCTAGGGGAGGCTGGGTGCTGTGGTTAGTGGGGCAATGCTTCCTATTATTCTGGGCTCTAGTCCTGGCTCTGCAGCCAGCCTGCTGTAACCACAGGCAGCTCCACATTTCATTTTCCCATCTGTAAGTACTGGCATTCCTTGTGAGATGCTTTCAGAGCTGATAAAAAAGCAGCATCTGACATGAAAATATTCTTCTTGGTGGTACAGTACCCTTAGAAAGCTCTTCTCAGAGCAGCACAGTCTGTGTTGGACTTATCACGAGCAGAGTATCCAGACCCTGGCAGAAATCCACTAGTCCCCTGATTTGCAGACAACCCTAATACTATGGATACAACATCCCTCTTTATGGTGCAGGTACATAACACTTCCCTTATGCATAGCTCTTCTCTGATGGTGGGGTGGGAATAAAAAACTTCCATAAAGGTCCAGTTACTCAGTGATTTAAGTTTCTTGCGTGTGTCTCTGAAGCGCTGGCTGCTCTGAAGTAGCTGCTAGCAGCCACTAGAGGAGAGTAGCCAGCTGAGACAAGAGGGGACGAGCAAAAAAAGGAGCACTCCAGTGCCATGCTAAAAGATGTTGCCAGGGATCCAGTTTGAAAGGGATGGAATTTGGAAGCAGAACCATGCTGGCAGCTTGTGTCCCTAGGTGGAGGGTGGGATCTTTATTTCGGAGCCCATGTGAAGTGGGAAATGACATTGCCCCTGGAAGAATTTGCCAATTTAATGTGCCAGTTTCCTCTGGAGTGCTGTGAAATCGGTCATCTGGCAGCGAAAGGAAAAAATGCAGGATGGCGATCGTCTGTGTGCCTTCCTGGGCATGTTGTGTTTTCCAAAAGATTGGAACATTTCCTCTTGTTTCCTATTTTTAGCAACAACAAAAAATGCTTTCACACTGGTGTCAAACTGAGAAAGGAAAAAAGTTCATGTGGTTTTACTCCGAATCACACGCAGATTATTTAAAACAAGAGGTAGGAGTTAGGATTCCCAGGTCTGACACTAAATAGTTGTGTGACCCCAGACAAGAAGAATATTGAGAATGTAATAATAATAAAAATAATAATAGTATCAGCTTGTTGAGAAACAGCTGAGTAGTTATTCTGGTATGTACAATCCCAGAGGGGAAGCTGTAAAGCTTGTTGAATTTCATATTTGAGAAAAATAATGGGAACTGACAACTCTGGCAGCATAGCAGAAGAGCCTGGCAGAATGCTGGCTATATGACCTTGACGTTTTCAAATCATAACTTTGAGAGAGGTGGTTAGTCAGATGGAAATTACTGAGCTCTATTGCAGGGGTGAAATTCTGCGACATGTGTTAGACAGAAAGCCAGGCCAAGGGCTCTAATGGCCCTTTGTGCTCTTAAACTTCATCATGCCTCTGGTTTGGCAGAGAGCTGGGCCTTGGGCAGGCCTGGAGCGAAGGATGGAGCTGCTGCAGGTTGGTTTCCCTGCAGTGCCCAGCCCCAAAAGGAGGCAGCTGCCACCTTGCATGGTGCTGCTGTCCTCTGCGTCTGCCCCAAGCCACCCCAGCACCGTTGCCACCAGAGGGCATGTCATGACCAATGTGTTCTTACTTCTGAACAACATCATTCAGAAACCAAAATAGCCAATGGTGAATTAATTTAGACTCTAACACCCCCCTTAGCTGTCAGGATGTCACCAAAATCCTCCCTGCATGCATTTTGCTGAAAAGCTCCTTTGAACCCCCCAAATTCCTTGACTGACCAGATCTGAGGGGTTTTGTCACACAGTTTAACAGTGACAAACGCTTGATATGCAGAGGAGCTGCTGCTGGGCAAGGAGGGAATAAACTGCACATCTGAGACGGTTTGCGGTGTTTTTTTCCAATGGCATTGGCTTATGCCCTGCAGAAATGAAAACTCAACTGCAGAGGGCTTATAGCTATGTTGCTGCTATTGTTTTTTATTATTTTATTTACTATTTTGAGAAATATTATTTGTTAGTGTTATCCTCCTCCTCTCTAAAACAGCAGTGGTGTTATTAGCAATACACTTGTGTGCTAATTAAAGCCTCTTGAGGTAAAAGCCTTGCAGATTTCTTGCTGGTTTTGTTATTTGGTAGCAGAGGCTGATGCCTGGGCAGGACAGGCTGCCCTGCCTGGGCTCCTAGCGAGGTGTGGGGATGCGGATGAGCTCTCTGGATAGTGCTGAGGGGTCACATCTGGAATTTCCATTCACCTTTCAAAAAGATGTAACATGCACAGAGGGTGGAAGAGAGTTTCCAGAATGCAAAATGCATCTCAGTGTGCGAGTTAGGCATTCCAGCCAGGGAGTTTTTCCGAGTAAAGCTTGAAGCTGTTTAGTCTAACCTATAAATAACCACAAGGGGAGAAGGTGTCTGGTGGTAGAGGGCTCTTTCATCTACCAGAGTCATAACAAGATCCAGGTGTTGGAAGTGCAGGCCAGCACAGTTAAAACAGAAGTAAGATGCAGCTCTTCATAGGGGAATGTAAATGG